ATAGATAACATATATATACACAGAACGAGTAAGGCCCATGGTCACACACCAACTAGAGAGGGATTACAAAGAGTGACATAGAGAGATTGCGAGGGCGAGAAGAGAAAAGACCGCCCTTTTTTGTCAAGGCCCAATGAGCTTTACACATGTTCTAATCCTTTTTTGTTTGTTGGGAAATTTGAGACAAATCTTTTTTTAGCCATGTCGGAGAAACAAATTTTCTGTTTAATGCTCAAAATAGAAAAAACAATTATTGTTAGAAAAAATTTATGCCCCAATAATTTGATCCAAAAGGAGAAAGCGCTCAATCTTTCCTAGTAAACTATATTTTGATAATCTCTTTTTAGAGATTAAAACAACCCCGTGTTTCCCCTTATTGCTCATATGTGGGAAATTTCTTAAGACCTGAAATGAATGGTCGAAGAAAAATGCGCAAGGAAGAGCATTTTTAGAGCTCGAAATCAAAATTTTCCCAGGCCCTTGCTTGCTGAGATGGTCAATGGCTCCGGACATTGAGACGGCAATTCTCCACGAGGTTTTCACTACAACATTAATCTAATGTAGATACTATCACATTAAATACATTTTATTTAGATGGTTTATATTAGACACTATCTTAAAACAATACTATCGTAAAAGGGTGCAATTTGTATAGAGACTAAGGTCTAAACAATCAAGTTAGTGCCTACTTTTAAAAAGTGTCGACAAATGTGGTTTTAATACCGAAAAGTTTTGTAGCAGCCTTAAAATATATTTTCATTTTTATTTATAAAGCTTAAATATTAAAAAAATAATATAGATCGATAAATCTATAAAAACTTAAAAATTTTAAAAATTGACGATCCAAAAATATATTATAAAATATATTATTTTCATAACTTAAAATCCATTTTTTTTCTATGTCCATGAATCTTGATGTCGAGATGATCATTTTGAGGATATTTAAGCATCAAAACAACCTCTTAAATAATTGAAGTAGGCTCTCCTTTGATTGTTTAGAGCCTTGACTCTATATAAACTTTTCCCATCATAAAATACATATTAAATCTATACTGTCTAAATTAAATAAATAGTGTGCAATATCATAATATTGTGCCCGATTGCAACCTTATTGAAAGCGCACCCCACAAATCTATACTCGAATAATTTTCGCGCACAAATTCTCTCATGAGAAGGGCATTTATGTAACCTTTTCTTTGACGTGGAGACAGTTGCCGACCATGAAGTAATAAGTAATAAATAGGGGCATTTTTGGAAAAGGTAATAAAAGCAAGGGGTAGTTAAGGGAGGAAAAGTGGTGGGGATGGATAGATGAAAGGCTCCTATTCCATCATATTTCTTTCCCATTTGTGGATGCTTCCTCTTCCTTTTGCTTCCCTCCCATTTGCAGGGAAAGCGGCGTCCGCTCTCTCTCTCTCCATCCAACCACGTAACCCAATAGAGAAAGAAGAGAGAGAAAATAGAGGATTTAGAAATCTGAGGAGCCAATCGCGTCGCTCCATTGCCGGGCATTTCTCAGGTACGGCAGCTCAGCTCTTATGAGGCCGCCCACTCACTCCAAGTTCCAGCCAATGGGAAACCAGAGATAATAAACCTAACGAGGAAACCCCTTTTTCTTTTTTATTTCTTTTGCCATCCCCTTCCTAAAATGGAACTATTTTTCTCCACACTCTTGCTCCCCCTGATTTGGAAAAATATTTAATTTGGAAGAAAACATATCAGTAAGACGAGAGAGAAGCATTGATCCATCACCCTCCCTAAAGGCTTTACTGTGCTGCTTTTTTATTTATTTTTGTTTATGTTGTTGCAGGAAAGAGAGATGGCAAGAGAGAAGATTCAGATCAAGAAGATCGACAATGCGACGGCAAGGCAGGTGACGTTCTCTAAGAGGAGGAGGGGGCTCTTCAAGAAGGCGCACGAGCTCTCTGTATTGTGCGATGCGCAGGTCGGAGTCATCATCTTCTCCGCCACCGGCAAGCTCTTCGAGTACTCCAGCTCCAGGTACTCTCTCTATCTCTCTCAAGAAAGAAAACGAACCACTTTTCTTGTGTTTCATTATTCTAGAGAGAGAGCCACCATTCTGGTGTAGGAATGGAGCCTGTAAAGTTGTTGTTGCCATAAATTTTCGTTTGAGAGAGAGATTTTCTCAGGTACCTTAAAACTTATAAGAGCCAAGCGATCCTTACTCTCGTCTGTGCACCTTTTTAACCTACAAAACCAGAAACCGTTTATTTATTCCTGCAACCTTGGTTTTGGTTTAAACCACCGTCCTTCTCTACAAGTCCAAGTCCAACTTTACGTAAGCCGTCTTTTTGAAGACCGTCTCTTTCTTCCTCCCCTCTCGCCCGTTGAGAAACAGTGCTCAAACCTTCCTCTCTCTCTTGATCCCATCGAGGAAGTGAGCAAGATTCTTGAGCTTATTTCAATGGGGTCTTATCAGCTTTGAAATTTGGATGTACTGTTCTCTGGTGAAGGATGGGACTTTCTTAAATAGCTTTAGTGGGCGATTACTTTATGGTTCCTTGTTTATTCGATGTCATCAAACAGAAGCATGTGAGCGCCTGCTTCCTTTTGTGATTCCACCCAACTGCTTCTTTTCGTTTCTTATAAGCCGTTTTAGAAGTGCATTTGTACAGTGGTTTCCATGGTAATCTCTCTATGGGATTTTGGCTTTAATATCTATGATGGATGGGGTTCTATATCGAGCTGATGCCTTCAACACAAATGACAGTAGATTCAGTTCTACTCCTTCATTTCATACATTGATTCTTGCTGGGGAAATTTAAAGAGGAAAGCATGAGTGAGAAAGGGGAAAAATACCAAAAAACAAATAGCCTCCACTCGATTATGCTGCTCTCCCCGCATCAGTAGTATTCAATACTTGATTTTCGGCTTTCATAGAACAAACAACCATGGTTTTGTTCTTTTCGTTCTGAAGAAAGAAAAATAAACCTAGGTGTTCTTACAGAAGGAAAACCAGGGTGCTGACAAGTGAATTACACCTATTTGTTTAGTGTGGATATTGTGAAAGAAAAGCTAGGGAGATGGTCAATTGGATTTTTATCATCTCTTCCTTGTGGTAAAAATTTGGCGTTGATGGAATAGTGAGCTTTCCAAATCTTAGATAGAACTATTTGATACAAAATGATAAGCATCTTACATATCATAGGCTTCAGGTTTGCACCCTTGCTGTTCATCAGTAATAGTTTCTTTCATTTGCTGAAAAAAACCCTTCGTGACGTTATTTGACAAATTAAAAAGAAAGAAAGAGAACTGATGATTTACAGGTGTTAAATGCACTAGTGTGCACGACTTTGCTAATTTGTTTGGGTTATCTAAGTATTTTATGTATTATTATTGTATAAGGATTCTTTTGTTTTTAAAAGGTAATTCGAATTTGTTTTTTGTGTAATCTGCTAGCTTTCTTATGTCTAGGTGAGAGTTAGATATGGCATTTGTCGGTGTAATGAAAATTTTCTCGTTGTTATAGTTCTCATCGTGTTGGTGTTTGAAAAGTCATAGTTGAGGGATTGAAATGTCCTAAGATTCCACGATGCTCACTTATTTAACAGCCATGCAATTGTCGATGCGCCATGATACTTGTTATTCTATTAAGAGGAGATTAATAATGTAAAACTATATAAAATTGAAACTATGGTATGTAATTGTAAATTATTTTAAAGCCTCAAGACTGATATATCATATTTTATTTGACTACTGAATGTGAATATTTGAAGATGTATGTCTGTAATGTATAATGGTAAATCGAATTAGTGAGATTAGGATAGCATTCATGTAATAGCATATCAACATATGCATGATGTAACTTTATACTATGTGCCATCTAAGATAAGTTAAATTATGCATCTATCAAATTTATGATTATACAATAACATGGGTGTATCCATAAATCATAAAGGAAGGATACACTTATTTTGGTCCTTGCCCTAACTTTTTGGAAAAAGTTATTTTACTATGATACCATGCAGGAATTTTGCATTAGTTCAAGAATGAAGGAAGAGGAGGAGGAACATGTACGTCATATTCCGAGGAGCCTTTGCTTTTGGATAAGCTTCCTGGCCATTCCGTTTCTAGGGGAGATTAGCTCTCAAACTACACAATAAGATAGCACACCACTTACTCGGGGAAACACAGAAATCTTATATTATACTAATATTGTATATCTATACTTATACTTATATTATTAATATATACTTATAGGGTGCGATTTCTATAAGGTTGCAACCTTAAGCAATCCAATTAAGGCGCACCTCCAAATTTTATCGTAACATGTAATTTTGTTGTAAAAAATTCTAAGGATTATCTTAAAATCTATTTTCATATCTAATTAGAAAATATTTTAAATTCCAAAAATAGTTATAATCAAGGAGATCTATAAACATATGCAAATCTTGAAAATGAACGGCCTAGACAATGTGTTGCAAGATGCACTATTTATGAGACTCAAAAACTTTTTTTTTATATATTCATACATCTCGATGTCAAGATGATCAAATAGAGGGTTTTTCAACATTAAAACAGCCTTTCCAATAGATTTTTGAGGTGCATATGTAATTCTACATTTTAAAGTTTCAATCTTATATAAACTTTTCCCATACTTATATTGTATATAGCATATTGTATATTAGAATAATATACAATATTAATATTATTAATATAATATAATATATAATATTAGTATAATATATTATTATTTAATATTATATATTTATACTTATATTATTAATATATATTTGTAATATATTATATTATATATTTATAGTATTAATATATATTTAAATAGAAGGAAAAGAAAAATAGATGGGTATAAACTTTGGTATACAGGAAAAATTAATAATAAAAATGACGTAGGCATAACTGTAGACAAAGATTTAAAAGATAAAGTAGTTAATGTTAAAAGAATAGGTAATAGGTTCTTATTAATTAAACTTGTATTAGGGAAATAGCTAATTAATGTAATTAGCGCTTATGCACCACAAGTAGGATTAGATGATAGAATTAAGAAACAATTTTGAAAGGACATAGATGGAATAGTTCAAGACATACCAAATGGAGCGATTACCTTTTTAGGAGGGGTCTTAAATGGTTATGTAGGGAAGGATAGTACAAGATATGAAGGGGTACATGGGGATATGGGTTTGGGGAATGAAATAAGATGGGTGAGGCTATTCTAGATTCTGTTATGGCTTACGACCTAGCAATAACAAACGCTCACTTTAAAAAGCGAGATGAACATTTAATAGCCTATAAAAGTGGATCACATAAAAGCCAAATAGATATTTTCTTAGTTAAGAAGGTTTATCGATCATCATATAAAGATTGCAAGGTTATCACAGGAGGGAGTTTAACTACCCAACATATGCTCGTGGTTATAGACATCTGCATAAAGACATAGAAGAGAAGGGGTGAAAGTAATGGATGTCAAAGAAGTAGGTGGTAGAATTTAAAAAATGAGAAAATAGACTTATTTAGGGATAAATTGTTGGAAATTTGTAGAAATGTAGATACAATAAAGTAGTACAGAATGATAGTATGGGTGAAGAGGAAGCAATATCACCTCAAGGATATTTCATTATTTCATTGATACAATAGGAATAATTTTTTATAACAAGCAAAAATGATGGTCTTGAGGACCATAACCTTCTCTTGAGGTTTCATTTTTTGCAATATTTACCCTTTATGAATCTTCCACGCTTCTTTTTATATAGATTTCTCTGACCATCATATGCACCGTCTTTCCATTCAATTAATGGGTCTTCTATGGTAGTTTTACACTGCCTTCCAAGAGCTTTCTTGGGCGGTTCTTACCACCGCCTTTCTATAACTTTCCATAGCTGTTGTTGTGCACTACTTTAGTTCGAATAAGAGATAGAGGTAGAGAAGAGAGGTTTCTAGAGAGAGAGAGAGAGAGAGAGAGAGAGAGCAGGAGATTGACTGTGTGATAAGGAAAATTTTGAATTTTAACATCCCCTTAATTTGTCACTCTCATAATATCTCTGAATTGAATAAATTTGTCAGTTGAAATTGTCTTCGTGAAGATATCTACAAGTTGGTCATTTGTGTTGATGAATTTTGGCTTGATTTCTTCTTTTTCTGTCAACTCCCTGGTGAAATGATGTATTTTTATTTGCTTCGATCAACTTTGAAATACTAGATTTTTTGTCATTGCAATGGCTGATATGTTGTCGCAGAAAATTGTTGTGGGGGTATTATGCTTTTGCTACAAGTCTGAGAAAAATCTTTTGAGCTAAACAACTTTACATGTCGCACTTGTTGTTGAGATATATTCGGCTTCTGCTGATGATATAGCTACAGTGTTTTGCTTTCTTGATGACCATGAAATCTCTTTTGTACCTATGCAGAATATATAGTTAGAAATATTTTTTCGATCATCAATAAAATCTGCCCAATCACTATCAGAAAATCCAACAAGATTAATATTATTTTCAAAAAAAAATTTGATACCATGTTTCTTTGTTCCCTGTAAATATCTCAAAATCCTTTTGCTACTGAAAAATGCAGTTTGCTTGGTTCATTCATGAACCTGGAAAACATACTAACTCCATGCACAATATCTATCATTTTGTTAGTCAAATAAATTAACGATCCAACCAAGCTTCGATAAATCGATGCATAAACTTTTTCTGCACCATCATATTTTGACAGTTTTTCATTTACTGCCATTGGAGCAATTTGACATTTTGAATCTTTTCAGGAGATCTTTAACATATTTCTCTTCAGAGATAAATATTTTTCCATCTGATTATTTTATTTGGATTCCAAGAAAATATTTCATGATTCCGAAATCAGTTAGTTTATATTCTTTCATCATGACTTTCTTAAACTCTTCCACCATTTTTTTGTTTGTACTAGTGTATATCAAATCATCCCCATAAAGGCATACAATTAGGGAGAAATTTTCATTTCCCATTTTCATATAAAGTAAAGGTTCACTTGGGCTCTTTTCAAATTCATTTTTC